CCTTGTTTAAAGATGTATGTTATAACTTAAAAATGTGTTCTTTGAAAAATATATTTCTTGCGGTTCACTGAGTAATTCCCGGAGAAAAAAATTGAAAGAAATTTATTTTTAAAGAAATCCTGAGTTCACGGTTGTTTTACGGTATTGTTATGAAACAAGGAGGGTGAGTAGAATACACTGTCAGTAGAGTAGACCATGCGTTTCAAATCAATATATCTCTCTTCTAGACAAACCATGACACATTGGACACCATTCCAGACAAACTTGTCATTTCTAATTAGACATCATAGTTGTAAATATTCATTCATTTATTAATCTAATCATCAGTTTATCCAGTTCTCCTCCTTCCTTCCTTCTTCTCCTTCTTCTCATCCTCCTTCTCAATTTCCTCCTAGACCTGCTTTTCCATACCCTTCTCCTTCTTTTCCTCCTTTTCCTCCTTCTCCTCCTTCTCCTTCTTTTCATTCCTTTTCCTCCTTCTCCTCCTTCTCCCCCTTCTCCTCCTTTTCCACCTTCTCCTTCTCCTCCTTCTCTTCCTTCTCCTCTTTTTCCACCTTCTCCTTCTTCGCCTCCTCCTCTTTCTCCCCTCCTTCTCCTTCTCACACTAAGTTGCTCTCTGTAAAGAGAGTGTAAGCGTAATTTCAAGTGACCCTCCATGCAAACATGTCAATGCCAGTTTTACAACAGTACCCTTTTAACTTTAATCCTATTTCAAATGTGGAAGATATTGATTTTTTCCTGACTCGGAAAGTGTTTACATCAAATCACTTTTTCATAGAAACCGCAAATAAAAACGAACAGTTTAAAAACACAAAACATGGATATTTAATTCAAGCTTGACTAGACAAATCTTTTTAAGGTACCGTTGTGAATCGGGAATTGCTATCTTTGCAAGGAGGGTTACTTGAAATTTCGCTTACAGTCCTTTTAAAAGGTTTCAATAGGAATTAGTCGAAATTAACCTGCTTGGAATATTTATGCCCTTGGCTAGCATTAAATTAGAAGAATTTCATGTTTGGGTCTACTTTAATATAATTGAAATATATACAACTTCTATATATAAAATTGGCTTGTCTGTCTGTTTGTTTGTTTGTATCAAATAAAAGTCAAAACGGCTGAACCGATCGGGCCCAAATTTTTTGTGGGACCTCACGTGACCCCAGGGAAGGTTTATGAATGATCAAAATTTCAAATATTTGTCTCCATCAAAATTCGATCTTCATTAAATTTTTGAAATTTTTGAAAATCCACGAAATTTTTTTGTGAAAATCCGCAAATTATTTTTGTTTTGTTTTACGATGTACAAAAGAGAACATGCTCACAATTAATTTAGAAGATGGGCGCGAAGCGCCCTAAAAGCCTAGAAAGAAGGGCGCGAAGCGCCTTGAATTTCTAGTTATTATATACTTGAAATATATACAACTTTAATATACTTGAAATATATGCAACTTTAAAATACTTGAAATTCATAACTGTCAAAATATTGAAGACAAAATATTACGGTCTTCTTTCTTCTTTTTAAATGTTTTTACTTTCGGGGAAATGAAAAAAATTTAATCAAACATTTTTTTTGCTCATAGCCTTATAAGCCTAAAGAATCAGCACCACGCGCATACATCTACGCCAAATTAAAGTAGATTGCATTTAAGATTGTTATCTCATATACGATTTTAAACAACTCCTCTTTTTGAAGAGATATATAAATAAAGAAAAAATGTTTTAAACACTCAATATACGTTACAACGTCATACGAGTTCTGTTTGATAAATTTGACCCTCTCGTTTTAAACTAGTTCTCAATAACTCCAGGCAGGTTCCTAGAAGATGCAAAAATAGATCTAGCAAGTGCAAAATTAACCAACTCATATTTTCCAACCTAAAATATTTACTTTTAAATAAATTTGCATGTATGAGGGTAAATATACATACTCTGAATTTAATATAATATAGTTTGGCTTCGTCTGTCTGTTTACGGAGATTTGTGAGTTTGTAATACCGCCATTCTTTAAGGACTGATGCAGATATGAACATAAATTCCCTGTGTTTCTATCTGCAAAGAGACAAAATCTCTTTTATTTGCCAATAAGGACAGTTTACAGGTTGTGTTGTTTGTTTGTTTTTATTTCAATGAACATCAAAACGGGGAATGATTGGATCTATTTTTTTGTGTTACCTTTAGCTCATATGACCCTGAAAAATTAGATTTTTTTTATTAAATAACAAGTTTGTTTTGTACGATGGAAAAATGGTTGCAGTTAAAAATGCATATGAAAATGAAATCATGACAAAGGGGCGCTAAACATTTATAAAATTGGGTTCGATTCTGATTATCTGTATATTTTATCCATCTCTATATCTAGTTCAGACTTATATCTTATTATTTGCAATCCTGGGTTAAAGGGACTGTAAAGGAAAAATGAAAGGGGCTATAGGCTGAAAGCTAATCACTTTAGCTCTTGATTGCGACCCATGAAAGTTTTATCTGATATTCCTGTCTCAAGAAATTGATATAAAACTGTGTTAAAATTATACGAAAGTTCATATATGTAAAATTTAGAAAATCTTAAACTTAAATCACATGACCAGAACTATCACCAATGGGAGAGCAGTATACTGGTCACGTGTCTCCGTCTGTATCACTGCACTGTCATTGGTGGAATTTCTGGTAAAGTAATACGGACGTATAAATAATTTAATGAATTAAATCTATTAAAAATAGAAATAAAAGATATAAAATTATAATTGGAGGAAACCTAATTTACAATTAGCTTTCTCTGGGATATCATCGTTTTCAGATTGGTTGCTTATTTGCTGAATTTGATCTATTTAAACCCTCTACTTTTATACAAAATTGTATATATATTAATTTTCGTATAAATTTGACACAGTTGTATATCAGTTTCTCGAGATAGTAACATCAGATATAACTTTCATGGGTCGCGATCGAGAGCTAAAGTGATTCAGCTTTCAGTCTATACCCCCTTTCATTTTTCCTTTACAGTCCCTTTAAAGTTTGCAAGTTTACTTTGTATAACTTAGAATCTTAGAAATGTTGCAAATAATCTTAATTGCTTATTTTGTAGTATAGATTATAATCATCTATCATTCTATATATCTATATATAAATTTGTCTTGTCTGTCTGTTTGTTTGTCTGGGTGGGTGTCTGTTTGTTTGTATCCAATAAACGTCAAAACGGCTGAACCGATCGGGCCCAAATTTTTTGTGGCACACAGGGAAGGTCTATGAATGATAAAATTTTTTTAAAAATGGGTTTTAAAGGTTTTTAATTCTGTAAAAAAATTTAAATTCTTGAAAATCCGCAAATTTTTTTTCTTCTTTGTTTTGAAATGTAAACAAAAAGAACATGTTCACAATTTAAATAGAAGATGGGCGCGAAGCGCCCTAAAAGCCTAGAAAGAAGGGCGCGAAGCGCCCTGAATTTCTAGTATACTATAATGCTTGTCTGTCTGTTTGTTTGTACCCGATAAACGTCAAAACAGCTTAACCGATCGGGCCCAATTTTTTTGTTGGATTTCGCGGGACCCAAGGGAAGGTTTATGGATGTTCGAATTTCCAAAAATTTGCTTCTAACAAAATTAGCTTTTTTAAATTTTTGAAAATCCACGAATTTTATTATAAAATCCGCAAATTTTTTTTTCATAAAATCCACGAAATATTTTGTTTGTTTTTATTTTACAATGTATACAAAAAGAACATGTTCACAATTGAAATTGAAGATGGGCCCGAAGCGCCCTAAAAGCCTGGTTATTTAAAAAAAAATAAAAGGGTGAAGGGCATAGTTTAGAGTGGAAAACGTAAATTTGTAACCCCCCCCCCCCCCTTGTACTTAAATAAGGTATGAAGTCAATCTGTATAATTTAACTTAAAAAATTTGATTATGTATTATACGCTTGCAACTTTGATCTAAATAAAACTGAAAACCAAATTGCAGGTTTCATGGCAAATTATTAGGTTCAGACAATACCTTCGAACCAACTATGCATGACTGAACTGGAATTCTTGCATAAAATTTTTGATAGAAAATATTTAAATATATTACAGCAAAGTGAGTGGAAACGGAAAAATTACAAATGTCGTCCTCTCATTCCACAGCTTTATGGTTTCAACTGTATATTAGGCAGGTTTTTGGTAATAACAGATTTTTAGAAAGCGATCCCATTTATTTTAAAACTGAAATAGACAGAAAAATTTTACTTTTAATTATCTGTCTTCGATTAATTTCTTATTTATGTTTTTTTCTAAATCCAACCGTTAGAAATACGCCCCAGGGCTGTTTCAAGCCAGAAACAATTTGTGGTGATATTTCCCATGTAATTTTACATCAACAAGATACATAGCCAGGGGCAGTCAGGAGTCCCTTCTTTGATTTATTGATATGAAAATAAATCTGGATTAAAAATGTTCATTTATAACTCAACAATAACACCCCCCCCCCC